ATGTGGGGAGTTTAAATACCACTGTATGCTGTTTTACTGTTTTAGTTGGTTATAGCTCCCACAAATGTGAGTTGGCATTTTTTAATCTCAGTGTTGTCTGTAGCCATACTCCTTTACGTTTCTGCACCATTGGTCCCCTCTGCATTTTTTTTTTCTCTTTCATATATGCTGATGAGAACTTGACCCAAGACGTCCTGAGAATTTAAGAAGAATATACCTGTGAGTTAGAGACTTTAATTTGCCTGTTTCCCTGGTATTTTAATTTTTTTTCCTATTATCCATTTTATTTATTTACTTTGTTCTTGGCGCACCCTGTAATTGTTGTTTCCTGTTTTTCCAGTCCTTTGGAGATAATAAAGAAGTTTTAATTATTTAAGAATAAGTAGGTACTTGGTAGATGGAAAATCAAATAAACTAATTTCTTTGGAGGGGCTATTGAGAAACTGGGATAGTTTCTGGTTGTTTGGAACTGGTTAATAATGACCCAGATATACCTATGAAGCCCATTCTTAAAAAGTGGGATACAGTCTTAAATACTAAAATTAGTTGTGATGAATGGAGACATTCCTGGAGTGTGGAATATAAAAACGTCCATTGTCTCAACTCATTGTGTCATTATAAGCTTTTAAATATGTGGTATTTGGTTCCACATAGACTGTCTAAAATCTATCCAAATCAAGAACATAGATGTTGGAGATGTGGGGACCAAAGAGGTGATTTTCTACATGTCTGGTGGGATTGTCTCCCTATTCAGTTGTTCTGGAACATTATTAGGGGTAAAATTCAAACACTCACTGGGAAATCCTTTCTCTATGGTCCTGACCTATTTCTTTTACAGCTTAATGTTAAGCTTACTTTCGGGAATCATACTCCATTGGTTACTCACATCCTACTAGCTGCAAAAAATATGACAGCTAGATATTGGAAACTAGACATTACTCCAATGTGGGCGTTGGTTAAAGAACAGCTTAAATTCCAATTAAGAATGGAAAGAGGTATGATTAAGGTTTCAGATGATGTGCTGTCCTTATGGTTAAGCTTAAAGGACCACTATAGTGCCAGGAAAACATACTTGTTTTCCTGGCACTATAGTGCCCTGAGGGTGCCCCCACCCTCAGGGACCCCCTCCCGCCGGGCTGGATGGCGAGGAAAGGGGTTAAAACTCACCTTTATTCCAGCGCCGGACGGGGAGCTCTCCTCCTTCTCTCCACCTCTGCTCCTCCTCTTCGGCTGAATGTGCATGCGCGGCTGGAGCTGCGCGCGCATTCAGCTGGTCTCATAGGAAAACATTTACAATGCTTTCCTGTGGACGCTTGCGTCTTCTCACTGTGATTTTCACAGTGAGAAGCACGCAAGCGCCTCTAGCGGCTGTCAATGAGACAGCCACTAGAGGATTTGGAGGCTGGATTAACCCTAATATAAACATAGCAGTTTCTCTGAAACTGCTATGTTTATAAAAAAAAAAAGGGGTTAACCCTAGCGTGACCAGGCACCTAGACCACTTCATTAAGCTGAAGTGGTCTGGGTGCCTAGAGTGGTCCTTTAATAGATAATTTGTAATAGATGAGTATGTTTGGGTAGTGGTAAGTCTTTTGTCCTCCTTTGCTCTTCCTTGACTTGAATGATGGGTACACCTTTAGACTCTGTATTATCTCCAGGACTCCCACTCTGGCGTTAAAAATTTGGAAAATAATTTCGGCCATTATGTCTGGTTTTGTGTTGTCTTTGTATGTCGTAGTATAAGTGTCTTTGCATTTTTCTTTCTCCAGAGTGTATAGTTTAGGAGCGTGGGGCTTACTACTGGCTTGATATATTTTTTGTATGATATGTTTTGACACACTCTTTATGATATGCTCGGAATGATGTATTAATTATGTATAGTAATGTCAAGAATTGTATAATGTGTTTTTTGTTTATATGGAAAACCAATAAAAAAAACACTATAGGTAGCTTGTCTCCTGTTAACCCCTTAAAAGATAATAAATGTACCTTATTTCCAGTCCTGCGTAGGTCCGTCTGCGCTGTCCTGCCCCGATCCGCCTCTTTCCTGACACCATCAGAATTTATAATTTTTAGCCAATCAAATGCTATCCCAGAGGCTGAAATTGGCAAAGAGGCGGGGCTAAACGCTGGCTTTGCTAATCAGCACCTCCTCAGAGAGATGCATTGAAACAATGCATCTTTGTGGGGAAAATTCAGCCTCTCCATGCATCTAAGGCATGGGCACTGGAGGTGTCCCTAGGGGGTAATGTAAACACTGCTTTTTCTTGGAAAATGCAGTGTTTAAATGAAGATCCCTGTAAGGAATGATTATACTCACCAGAACAACTACATTAGTTGTTCTGGTAAATATAGCGTCCCTTTAGGTCGAAATACTAATACTAAGATATGCTTGGAAAAATAAATGAATATACTACCTAATAATGGAAAATATTGGTATTGAAAAGAATGTGAGACCAGAGACCTGAAAGATCACGAGACCACAAAGCAAAGGGAAATAAGCCAGATGTGTATTTACCTGAAGAAAGGTTGGACATCAGAATAAGGAATTTACTATTTGTAAAGCAAGCTCTGCATGGATGGTACATTAGTTCAAGCACAGCAAGTCGCTCAACGTGGCATTCATCAGGGAAATTGACTATAGTGTAAAAACCTAAGTTTTAATAGCCACCTGTAAAGTGATGGCATTTTTGAGCCCAAGTGCCAAAACCGCAATACATGCCAACTTTTTTCTCCTCAAAGTGCCAACACGGCAATTAAACCTGAATATTGAGGTTTAAGTTTAGAAAAAACAACTCGTACAGTTGTCCGAACTAATTAACATCTTTTATTTTAAAAGAAGAACACATCAACAGAGCTGAATGATACAAATTATAAATAATGATATAAATTATAGATAAAATTAAGCTTATATTTATTAGTATTTCCATCAAATGCAATACATACATACATACAATACGTACACACAGACTGCTGAACACATTCACACACCGACTGCTGAATACATACACACACAGACACACACACAGACTGCTAGATACATACAGACTGCTGAATACATACACACATACTGCTGAATACATACATACATACATACACACAGTCCCCACAGTCATACACTGTCCCCCTCCCTCCACTCTAATACACTGCCCCTCCACCGAATCTTATACAATGCCCCTGATCCCGCCACTCTAATTTAATAAACTGCCATCCCTCCCCCAATTTAATAAACTGCCCTCCCTCCCCCAATTTAATACACTGCCCTCCCCCCAATTTAACACACTGCCCCTCCCCCCATTTAACACACTGCCCCCTCCCACCACTCTAATACACTGCCCCTCCCTCCCCAAATTAATACACTGCCTCCCCACAACACACTACCGCACCACAGTAATACACTGCCCCCTCCCCTTAAATTAACATTGCCCTCCCCAAATTTATCAGACTGCCCCCCACCACTCTAATACACTGTCTCCACCTCCCACCTCTACACTGCCCCACTTCTCCCCCATTTTAATACACTCCCTCCCTCCCCAAATTAATACACTGCCCCCTCTACCCAATGTAATACATTGGCCCCCCTCCCTCCCCTAAATTTAAATAGTGCCCCTTCCCTAAAATTAACACACCGTGCACTTCCTCCCCCAATTTAATACACGACCCCCCTCCGTCCCTCAAATTAATACATTGCCCTCCTCCCCAATTTAGCACACTACACAGGAAGGTCCCCCAAGTCCCTCTTACCCTACCTTAAGATGAGCCAACCATCCTCCAGTTCCAGCATTGATCTTTTCTGCTGAAGCAGGTTAGACACTCCTCTGGCATTGAGAGAAGGATGGAAGAGGGAGTGGCTGGCCTGTGGGAGCATGCGATCGAGAGTGGGAGGGAAGACTAGAATCAGACAGCAAAGATCTTTTCTGTCTTATGGCTGATCACAGCCTCCACACAAAGTGGACCAAGGGCAGGTGGGCCGCAAATATATCCATTGTGGGCCGCAAGTTTGACATGCTTGGTATACATGATCAACAGGGAAACAGTAGGGCCATGTCCCTCAACCGGAGGTGTATGCAGTGGATACACCAAGTGCTGATGAGCTGGCTACCTTAGCTCCCCCCAGCGCTAAGGAAACGTAGGCATCTGCTTATGCAGATGGCAGGTGCCTACTCTGCCCAAATACAAGGTCTGGGGGAAGAATGGAGGCAGGGGCGGCGAGGGAAATTTGCTCCCTCACGAGTCCTGTGGTGATGCCAAGACGTCACTCCGGCCTTGGCATCGCTAACAGTACATGATGGAGAAGTGCTGGAAGAGCAAGCACATTACACGAGACCCACACTGCACCAAGGGAAAGGTGTCACGGTAGTATACCCCAACACACAAGAATAGTCCAACGAGAGACAAGATAACAAGATACGTCTTACTGGGCCTTAGAATGGCTGGACTCAACGTGGACAGGAAAAGACAGAG